GAAATGGATTGTGATTTATCGATCCTTCAAGACCTGGTCCCAGTCAACTCGAACGCAGGCGGTCTGTCTGGAGAACCAAACCAATACCATACTCGGTACCGAATAACAGATGCGGCCACTGTTGTTATGTGTACGTTACAGATATTCTGCCTAAATTCTGGTACAGATTGACTTGAAGAGTATTTGAACAAGCAGATCAACCTTTTTTCTTTCCCTTTGAGATAATCCGCTTTCTTTTTTTTTTCTCCGTGGCCTCTGTCATCATCCGATGTCTTTTACGAAAGAGGATAAGATACCATGGTAAAAATGCTATGACGCAGGCGAGGAATCCTCATCACGCCGATCATCGTTGAGTTCTTCCGCATTCGGCCAGATAGAGTTTTCCGGTCCAGGCACTGCAGGGTTTTTGGGAGAAGGTCCACCAACCGTTCCATGATCCCTTCTTTTAGTGCTAAGCGGGGGGACACACTTTTTGGGATTTGGAACCTGTCGATGGTCAATAGGATTTTATGCTGTTTTCACCGGGACTGGTGGAAGTTGTCCGAACCTTAAAAATGCCTTAGGACCTTGGGTATCCGGGAAAGAATTAGGGTAAAATGTCATTACAATTCGAATTGATGGGTGAAACTTTGGGAATTTCGATGACTGGGTAGCCAAGTCCAATACTACTTACTAGTCATGGATTAACGGAAGTGGCACAGGTATCCGACCCAGCGGAGGGGCTTCCGGGCCCAACTCTGCCAGTGATAGGTCACTGTACTGTTTCAGCCCAGAGCCATTCGCGTAGTGTGGCCTCACGACGCCAATCAATGTAGTTCGAGGATCACCCGGTATCAGATTGTTTCATTGAAGCGAGGGAGTGAACTCATGACTTCATTTTTCTATTTTTCTTTATTCTTATTAATTTTCTTTATGTGTTAAGTCGACTAAGAATATATTGATGGGGTGCGGATCTAAAGACTGCTAGTGTCACTGTGGCGAGGCTGAGCAACCATAACCCAAACCTTTAATTAGGAACATATGGTGAACGATTAATTGAGGTAAAAAGAAACGACTGGGACTGGAATAAATCTAATCAGGAAAAAAAAAATTACGGTAGAAAGAGACAGAGGGGGGAAAAAAAAGAAAAGAAAAGGAAAAGAGAAAAAAGAAAAACAACATTAGAAGGAAAAAAGAAATGAAGGAGAATGACCGAAGCTAGCACGAAAAAGTTCTGCTAACCATGGGCACGATCGGAAAAAGTAGTCAATCAAGGCACTCTCGCCTCCCCCCAAACACTTAGTGAAAAGTCACCACCTTTTAGTTCACTTTCCCCCCGATTTCCCGCTAGTCCCTCTGGGGGTTCAGGCTCCCAGGCGTCCAACTCTCCCTCTCTCATCCTCTCACAACCTCTCTTTCTCCTCTCTTTTCCCCAATCCTTCGCTCCAGTTCAAACATACCACCGCCCAACTACTATTGAAATCCCATCTTGACGTGATCATCGCCTAACTCCCCCCTCTTTCTTTCTCTCATCCTACCTTTCCCCCCCCTTCGTCACCTCCATCCGCTCTCTGTGCGGCCTCCGTCCCACATATTTATCCTTGATTTCGAATTCCACCCTATTCCATCATTCTTTTAGTCCCTGGAGGCCCCTGCCTTTTTTTCACCGCTCCTCGCCTCTACCAACCCATCCAGTCCGTCGCTTTGCTCAGTCGTCTTAGGTGACTGATTCACTCTTTTTGACGGACTGACCGATTAAGCCAGGAAGCCCGCCAGGGCTGTGCAACGCCATGCCGGGGCGTTTCTCATCCGACCATTCTCGCTCTCTCTCGCGATCCTCTCAATCCCCGTCTCAACAATATAATTCAACACAAGACGCCGACTCAATGCATCAGCGTTCTATGTCCGGTCACTCGTCCAACCCCAATGTCTTCTCCGATGATTATTCGCTAGAGCAAATCGATTCCGAACAAGCCACCCTCACTCCTCGAAGTCCATCCGTTTCATCAATCGCGTCATCCAATACCCTCCGTTCGTCTTTGCCTCAACAACAAAAAGCGTATAACACAACGCCAAATGATCTCGGGGTAACAGAGAATCCATTTGGTGATGATGCACGGGTTTCTTTCGATGAATCACCAAATCGGTCCAGTCTGCCCCCAAAGGGGGTCGACTTCACCAACCGCAATTCCGCAGCGTCCACTAATACCGCCCCTTCCATAGCGCAGCGCAGTCAGAGCACTTCGTCACGATTTTCCATGCCTCCCCGGGCCTTAAGTCCTTACACCGGGGCTACAGGCCCGAGCCATCCGTATGCGATGTATCCACAGGTTGGGGTTAGCCGTTCACCCAGTATCGCGACTACGTCTACGGTGCGGCCGATGGAGCGACCGTTGGGCGATGCCAATGCACCCCAGCACCCCTATGCGATGTACCCACAGAATGTGGTGGCAGAAGAAGAGATGGACAACGCTATGATTCCTCCAGTGGGCTTCCCCGGACACCCCCAGGCATATCAACGACCACCCAATCGTGCCGATGACGACGTAGGGGACTTGATTGGACCCGATGGCCATACAGAACAGCTACCACCTTATTCACGGTACCCCGACCCAGTTGTTCCCAAGGTTGAGGGGACTTTTGATCCTACTCCTGACGCAGGCGTCACTCTACACAATAATACTCCTAGTCCTAATGAGCACCCCCCGCCGCCAGTTTCGGAAGTATCGTCGAGGACGTTGGTCGCGGAAAATATGGCAAATCGACGAGATAATGATGACGCAGAGCGGGAAGCAGCACCAGTTACCGGTGTCATGGCATTCGAGGAGAAGTTGAAGACTAAAGGTAAAAAGAAGGCATGCTGTGGGTTACCGGTCTGGACCCTTGTTTTGGTCGGTGTCGTGATGCTTGTGGGGGCATGTATCGGAGGTGTCATCGGAGGTGTCTTGGGAGCAAAAAAGGCGGCGAATGAGGAGAACGACCACCCGAAAGGTCCGAAGATTGTCACCAAAACAGAAACCCCCCGGATGGATGCCACCCCCATATCTACGATTCCTACAAATCTACCAGCTGCGCCTACTGGGAATTACTGGATTCCCGCGGACCCGAAGAATTCTTCGAAATTTTGTATTGTCGAGCAAGACTACAACCCATCGTGGAGTTGCATGAAGTCGGGGAAAATACCAGTGTCTCTAACCGGGACAGAATCATCACGTAACATCACCTTCGCCAGCGAGCCGATTTCTTCGTCTTTCACTTATGGCGCTCAAGCACCATACTTTTCCAATCCTACGCAGTCACTTAGCCTAATGATGGACTCCAGCGATCTCAGCCTCGGCCCCGCCCTAACTTTCTTTTCCTTGTTTGATAAACTGGTTATTGTCCCCCAGGATACCTTCTCATCTAGTGCGGTTTCAAAACGTGACATCAGTGAGGATGATGTCATGGCAGGCGCATTTCATCGCTTGCAAACGGCGCGGGCGGGCGATAAACCCTGGTTTTGTTGGTGGAACAGCACCGTGATGGAGTTTTTCCTGTACCTCAATCAATCCACTAAGGAGGCTCAATACAGTTCCACTTCGACACATCTGCCGCAGTCTACGGATTCTTCGAGCTCTTCAGTGTCTAATTACCCTCTCCGGATCAAGATGGATGAGAAGAGAGATTACCCAGAGGCCCAGTCGCCTTACTGCCAGCAGATGCAGGTGCTGGATAACGGCTCCGTTAGCCCAATTTCCCAGCAGACGATTCAAATCAAGGAGTTGGAGCCGACACCAACGACAACGCTCAAATACTCTGCGAGTGCGACACAGACTTACACGGCGACCGCACAGTATGAGCATGTGTGTTATTGCGTCGCGTTGACGGATTAGCGTCTCATTAGAGAGGGTATCTACTATAAAATCAGAGGAGTATCGGTTGGTACTGCCTCGTGGAGCTACAGCGTCGGCGTTACCAACGGTGGAAACGGTCCATTATCTTTCATGTGCATACGAATGATTGGTTCTCTTCTGCGGTCAGCTCGGGATCTTGACTGTGCTGGAATTCTCGCATTGTTTACAGAGTTTATGGCATGCATCGCGTACACTTTCGGTTCCCCTTGCGACCTGTCGTGTCATTTTTGGTCTTCCATGGTGTGCTTTGACACCATTTGTCTCCAGTATCTATCCAGCATATTTCGTGCTTTTTTCTTTTTCTTTTTCTTTTTTTTTTCTTCGGCGCAGCTTTATGGCGTTTTTGGATCGGTGTAGGTGGCCAAACTCAGTCCATCGTTATCTTTTCCTTGGGCCCACAAACTTTTGGGTTTTTTCTGTTTTTGGAGTACTTTCTATATTTAACAGCTCGTATCTCAGGTTAACCATCCATGCCGGTGGTCATGGTTTCTATTTATGGCAGTATAGCTTGACGGTTCCATCGTCGAATCCGTTCGGGTTTCATGACAGCATAGGCGAATATAATTTCTTGATCAGCAAATGATCACAAACCTTACTGATCTTCGTTTTCTGAATCCCCTTGTCCTTGGTTCACTTAGTAATATAAAGAACTGGGGAAATATGGTTGACACCCAATAATCTCGGTCCTGCAGGGTATGACCGTGTGAAGACGTCACCGGTTACATTACCGATGATCAAAACATAAATCAACGTCCAACGAGTGCCACTAAGGAGAATTGGTTAAATGCAGGTAGCACAAGTTCCAATCTACATTCTCGCTACTTAATATTTTCAAAGTCGACATAATCTTGCGAACAACATCTCCTCACGCTTCGCCCATTCACATTGATTAACCAGATTCCGATACAACATGAATCCAATCTTGCGCAGTGGCTCCATATTGAGGGTAGCCAATTCGTCGATTCCTTCCCTCTACCGTTCCCGGAAGGTCACTCCTCTGTCATGGCGGACTTACGCTCAGAGTTCCTATGGCGGGGAAGGGGAGACTGAAGCTCAACAGCCGAACAACCCTCGGAATACCCCAACTCGGGACATTGAACATCCAGGTACGTGATCGGTGACAGAGCTACGCAACCAACATAACAAAAGTGGCGGGTCGAAATCTGACCACACCTGTGTAGGGCCATCTGCCCCAGATGTCAGCAAGGGCTCAACAGCATCTTCACGCTCTCAGCCTCGATCTACTTCGACATCCCAAGAAGATCGAGATAAGGAAGATTCAGAAGGTAGACCCATTCGAATGTCACCCTCCAACGACGCAAAGCCAACGATTACTGACGGACGCCATTCCCCCAATGTTGACTCTGAAGGCAACGTGCGGTCAGATGTTCCTAATGATGTAAAGAAACATAACGAAGAGATGGAGCACCGGTATGATCGACCTTACAATCAACTAGGGAATGAAGGGAAGCCACCGAAGGGGTTTTGAGAAAGGCCACAAGCTTGGACGAGTGGTGTGGTTTGTGGCGATATCCCTTGCCGTCGGATGGAATTGGGAAAGTTACTATATGATTGATTAACGGACCGAGGTTCAGAAAATGAAACTATTTGAAAATGTTATCTGGCGGATTATAATAGTTAGGCTTCTAATTTACGGTGTAGACCCGAGCGCGCAATATGTTTTACGCCCCAGGGCAGGGCCTCAGATATATTTTCAGATGCCACCGACTAAAAATTAGACTTTCGTACTTCCGTATCGTAGAACACGCTTATTGCTTATATATTGTATAATTATCTCTTCCTGAACTTGACCACTGGGGAATAGATGCCCTGAGGAGTGGTTACATTCATTTAGTTCACATTTGTATTGCCACGGAGTCGTTATGGAAATGCCACGAGGCTGGGGAAAGGCCACGGGTTCCTGAACGCGGATCTCCCGCGGTCGCCGCCAAGCAAACCCATCGCTCAGGAGCATCACTCACTGCACCCACGCAGCTTACTACTCTTTGACACTGAATAGTCAACTGCGGACGGACTTCTTTGTCGCAACCTATCTTTCCCGCGTTCTCCTTTGAATCTCTCCCCTCGCAACAGTCAAGATGGGCGCCGCAAAGAACAAGTACTCGGTCATTCTCCCAACCTACAATGAGCGGAAGAACCTCCCTATTATCTGCTGGTTGTTGGAGCGCACCTTCCGTGAAAAGTGAGCTTTAGCATCCCCTCTGTTTTCGAAGAATCCCTCTCCGATGGTCCAATATCTGCGCCCGGATACGGCTAACCACTATCAACCGATAGCAACCTGGACTGGGAAGTTGTCATCGTCGACGATGGCTCCCCCGACGGCACCCTTGAAGTCGCCAAACAGCTCCAGAAGCTCTGGGGCCCCGAACATATCAACCTGAAGCCGCGTGAGGGCAAACTCGGTCTTGGAACAGCCTACGTTCACGGTCTTCAATACGCCACAGGCAACTATGTTATCATTATGGACGCCGACTTCAGCCACCACCCCAAATTCATCCCAGAGATGATTCGCATCCAGAAGGAAACGGACGCCGATATTGTCACGGGCACGCGGTACGCCAGTCGCGACAACATCAAGGGTGGTGTGTACGGCTGGGATCTATTCCGGAAGTTTACGTCGCGAACGGCCAACCTCATCGCCGATGTCATGCTCATGCCTGGTGTGAGCGATTTGACGGGCAGCTTCCGGTTGTACAAGAAGAGTGTATTGGAGAAGGTCATCCATAGCACCCAGAGCAAGGGGTACAGTTTCCAGATGGAGATGATGGTGCGGGCCAAGGCCATGGGCTTCAAAGTTCAGGAGTGCCCGATCACCTTCGTTGATCGATTGTACGGAGAGAGTAAGCTGGGCGGTTCTGAGATTGTGGAGTACTTGAAGGGTGTTTTTACCTTGTGGTTGAAGGTCTGAATGGTTTCTTTGACCTCTGTTGTTTGGGGTCTTTGTTCAGGGGCCGCTCGGTGGTCTTCGATATACTAGTATACCCTCCGTTTTCGTCTCTCTTGCGGCAAAGCTTTCTTAATCTTTCTTGTTTATGTGTTGGTCGTCCTAAGACCTTTTTTTCATGTACACTAAATGTCCAAAATGCTTGATTCCATCTTCTCATGCCTGGCTTGATCATCCATGTTGCCCTGATCATACTCTACAGCACACTACACACTGTTAAGATACTGAAGGACACGCTCAACCAACCAATCCTGACCTTCATCCTTCACATTGTGCGCGGCCCCCGGAATGACACCGCTGTATTCACTCCATTTCTCCACCCCGCCAGCATTCGTCGCCTCCTTCCACCTTCGCAAAAGTGCCTCTTTATCCACCGACGGCAGAGCATACTCATCATTTCCAGAATATAACGCCGCTAACTTCCCCTTCACTAATCCCCTCTCCGCAACAGCTCCAAACGTCTCCTTCAACCTCTGATCCTTCAGGTCGGAACTAAACAAATCGTCCTCCGCAGGCTTTTCTGGACTCTCTGGACTCGCGAGACTCAGAAATCTCCGGCAGCTAATCCCGGTATTATCCGGCCATCCGACTACTGCAGTAAGATTCAGCGGCAACAGCGACTGTGGCGCCTGCAGCCTCGCAAAATTCACTAACTGCTCATACGCTCCACGAACCTCCTGATCCGAGTGCGCCAAATGCAAGATATGCTCCCGATCCGACACGGGTGCCTGCATAATAGCCCCATCCAACACAGGCCGAGCACTCTCCTGCCCAGGGAGCGGATTTGGCGAGTGCAGATAATGCAGGACGTCCTGACTACCGGTTGAATGGCCCATGAGAACGATCTTGCCCTGGGGTTTCAGACCCCGGACAAAGTTCACGCACTGCGCGATCTCGGCGACGTCTTTATCGAGACTTTCGACGCCCCAGCCGAGGTAAGAGGAGGAGAGAAGGACGTTGAAAACGGTCCATTCGGTGGATTCGAAGGCTTTTGCGAGTGCGGATACATAGGGGACTGTTAGGAGGCCGTCGGTGAGGCCGCCAACGAAGAGCAGGCTGTGTTGCTTTTTGGGGCCTGGGTTAAATTCGAAGGCCGTTAGTCTTGGGGCCTGGATCCGTTGTTAGTGTGTTCGGTTTCGTCTGGGTTGAATACTGGATGGGTTTGTGTACATATTCGTGGAGGATACCAGAGTGGGATTGAGACATGGTTTATGTATGACGGGTTTACGGTCTCTCTTCCGTAGGCTTGGGAAGGATGGGCGAGCAAGAGAACGATATAATCTAGACAAGCTAACCGGTCCAATTTATAACACCTTAGCCCAAAAGATATGCTGTGAGATTATAGTTCCATGAAATGACGTTTGACGGGCATCGATCCAAACTGATAGTGGCCCACTGAGGAGGGGGGGTCCAAAGCTGATCCCATCCCTCTGATATTTCGCACCAGGAGTATTTTCCCATCCTCCAGGTTCATATAACTCTCACACGCCAACCAAAAACGTACACGTCCCTGTCCACATCGCAGGCACGAACGTTAACAACAATTAACAATTACCCCAAAGCCCCCCAGAACCGATAAAATAATACATTCATACAAAGTTGACCAAAAAGCGGAATGGTAATTTTCCCCTCGTTCCAAATACGTAACGGGAGTGAAAAAAAAAAGGTAAAATTACAACTTTCCCCTATCTGCCAAGACTCCCGCAAACTTCAACGGAGTATGAACGAATGTTCTTTTCTAGTCTCTTACAATTGAATGAATGTGGACCCTGTTCTCATAGAAGACGCCTGAGAATATTGGCAATTTGAGTTAGTAGGATTGTGAAGCTGGTTGTGGTTGTTTGTTCTATCTGGGCATGACTTTTACTCTGAATATCTGAGATCGAGGTTATTAAATATCCCATTATTTATTTTTATCCCTCAAGTTCATTCTCGTGAGGTGAGTTTAAGATCAAATGCCTCGTGCACGCAGATCCACCCGCCTCACAGGCGGTAAGACAAAGTACACGAATGATCCCTTCGAGGCAGCAGGGGTAAGCGATGAGTCAGACAACGGGTCCAAGGCGCCCAAGGGGAGAACAGAACAAGTCAGCGACAACGAGTCATCCGATGAGGAATTCCAGGCCAATGAAGAGCAGGATGAAGAGGAAGAAGATGACGACCAGGGGTCCCAAGAGGACGTAGCTGGCGAAAATGACGGCGAAGGAGCCGAAGATGATGACGAGGAGGAAGAGTATGCCTCTGACCGCGGGCGCGGTGCGCAAAAGGCCATTGCTTCTCGACCGAAACTCCAGCGAAAACGGCTCGGGGGTGACCTTGCTATGCTGTCGAAGGATGAGACGCATTCGCGCGGTACTCATAGCTCGATGGAGCATATGGGGAAGATGCTCCATATGAGGATTACGTTTGGTACTGATGAGAAGGATCTGTTGTCTATTGTTTATGCGCGACAGCGGTGGTATAAGGGTGTTGATTCTGGGTTTCCGACTCGTGCTTCCCTAAATGAGGCGCTGGATGTGCCGGATTGTGGGTTTGGGCCGACTTTTGGTGTTGAGCCGGAGGAAATGAAGAGGGAAAGAACGCGCGGGTGGGATTGGTATTATGATAGTGATGTGGGAGGGAGGTTTAAGAAGCGCCAACGTCTAAAGACTATTACTGAGAAAGAAGTCTATCAAAAATTCATTCCGCAGGCCAAGGAGAAGAAGCATACCGTGCTTATTGGGCCCGTCGATGATCAGAAGGTGTTCACGTTGGGACATCATGAGTCTTTCGATTTTGGAGAAGCTTTTGGAGAGGCTAAGATTCGAGAGAAAGCAAAGCCGGGCACTGGTAGCAAGTCCAAAGGTAAGGCTTCTGCACAGGATGATTCTACCAGTCGAGTTCGAAAGAACCGCGAAGGATGGATTATCAATCTAGGGCAGAAGGTTCAGTGTATGGCTTGGGCTCCAAATCAACCCGGTCTCACACAGTATCTGGCCGTGTCTACGCCGATATCAAAGGGAGAGAAAGAAAAGTATCCGGACCCGTTCAAGGACCGTGGTGCTCGAGCATTTAGGCCATCCCCTCCGTATCCATGTGCCTTGCAGCTTTGGATGTTCAAGGCCGAGAGGGAAGAGTCTCTTACAAAACACATTGATATGAACTTCAAACCAAAACTACGAATGGCCCTATGCACTAATTGGGGCGATCTAAGACGAATGGCCTGGTGCCCAATACGTCGAGATTCTCGGGAAGAGGATGATGATGACGCCTTGAAATCTGTCGGGCTTCTTGCTAGTGTATGGGGAGATGGATATGTAAGAGCCCTAGATATCAAGCTTAGCCGCGACCCGAACAAGGCCGAATACTGTAAGTTTCTGTACAGGTAATAGCAGGACTCTTACCTCGTACTAACGTTGTCCGATAGACGCAGTGCAGTCTCCAGTCTTCGAAGCTAAGCCACCATCGACTCTCTGTACATGTTTAACATGGCTCTCTCCAAGTGATATCGCTGTTGGCTGTGCCAACGGGTTCGTCGCTATTTGGAGCATTGTGCCTTTGCCGAACTCTCCAACAAACCCTTTCCCTTATTTTTACCATCCGATCCATTCTACATACATTCTTAATCTAGCATCGGCTTATCCAACAAATGCTCATCTGATAACGACTACGTCCATGGACGGAGAGACGCGGCTATGGTCGGTTTTAGATCCCCAAACGGACATGGTGGACTCTAACCGCATGCGAGTGGGATCGCCTTACTTAACGTACTCTCCTCTGCTACACTCTTTTCTCTCCAGCGACGAGAACGATTTCGCCAGACTTTTAGCTGTGCGACGATTCTATACTACGACGGCAGTAGCTCGATTCCCTAGCACAGTTTCTTCGCTGGCCCCATGCAGCGTCTGGCATCCCAGCGTCATGTACGGGTGCACCAGCGGTGCGGTAGTCGCGACGAACCCCTTACGGCGATTGTTGCACGTCAAAGAAAAGCAATGGCAACAGACCTGGTTTACCCATGAGTGGGCGCGTGGTGACGACGCAAGCGATCCAGGTATCAGTAGATTTCACGATGGCTACCGCGCTGAGAGCATAAGCCTACTACGGAACATGATGGGGGATCGCAAGATGGTGAACGGGGTAATGATGATCACAATCTACGAAGAGGGAACGCATGTCACCGCACTCTCTTGGAATCCAAATCAGGCATGCGCGGGGTGGGCCAGTGCTGGTATGGGCTGCGGACTGATTCGAGTGGAGGATCTGGCTACGTAACCACCCTTTTTTACATAGTTGGTGTCCTCTCAATCTTACTCCGAGGATGACTGTTGTTATATTGAACGAGGTTCATGACCGCCAGTCTTATTACGTATGTCCTGCATGATTTATGGGGTTCTGTGTATCGTGCATATTTTATCTGCATAATTGATTACTTGAGAAAAGTCAGTTGATATTCTCAGAGCTATAATTAGACAGAGCGTGCAGATAGAGTTGCAGGACTCAAATAGATCGTGCGGATCTCTAATGATGAGGTAGATCAGAGAGCCCGAGCTGGATAGAACCTGTCACAACCTTCGGGTTCATTCCGAAAAGACCCTTCCAGGGTCTAAGTGACATGAAAGTTACATACGGTTATACCCGAACATCGATGGTAACTTATGTATACCTGAATTACGACATTCTAATTACATAGTAGAACTCCCGAGAACGGTAAGGGAGCCGATAGCGCCTCGGTGATCCTACAGATTTTCAAGATCATGTGTACAGCCGGTACAGTTAGCAATGTGCAAACCCTTCGGGTCTTCCAACGGTCGGATACTAAACTCGAGCATTGTCGGAGGAATATAAAGACATGCTGACGTTAGCCTTGACGTTGCTCCCACCACGACCATGTACTGTGTGTCTTGGCTATTGCGTGATGAGCGTGATGCATCAATCTGATCTTTCTATCTATTCCCGAATATTTCCATCACGCATAAACGCATGATGATTAATGAATGCACAGTAACAAAGATAAACTTTCTGCCGTTGCCCGTTGCTTGACGCCACAGGCGGCAAGTGGGGCGCTCCAGCCACAGATTCCGCCGCTAAAAAAAGTCTTGGCGCTAAATCATAGGAAAATGTTTCTTATTTTATCTCGACTCGATTTGTTGTACTCCGAAGTATGTACTCCGTACGATACGTACGACCATGTGAATTCTTTCTGCCTAAACTCGAAGGACTGCAGAGCCACACCAGGCTTCTGCTGAAAAATAAACATCAGACACACATGAATAGCATGATAGTGATTGCGTGGACGTCGATCGTCTCTAAAATTAACGTGGCTGGCGGTCCCCCGTGGGTGGACGAGGGTCTCCCAGCCTCCTTTGACGGCTGTCGCCCAGGCCATCGTGGATGCGCCAGCCTGCATATTACCCCATCGGATGGGTCCCTCTGCCGTCCGATGATGAAAACTTGATATTGACTAAATAGATTGAGTGCTTTTAGTCTCTTCTAGACTACCGGTTTTTCTATATAGTTGCTGATCATAAATTGGGGGCCGTCCCTCCTCTGCTCGGCCTTGATATATTCATCTTGTCTAGTTTAACTGGGGTATTGTCCTCTGTACTATTTTCATTCTACCTTCCCTAGGGAGCTTATAATCGAATATTTTCTTCTTCTTTTCACTGTACACTCTGTCACTTTCCAAATCCCTTCAATATGCATACCTCAGCATTGCTCTTGGTCCTTTCCTCCCTTGGTGCTCATGCAGTTCCTCTCCTCCGTCCTAGGACAAATGATACCCTCGCGCGCAGAGATGTGCAATATTCTGTTGTGAATGTTGGCGGTCCACCTAGCGCCGAAACGACCCCGGTCGTCGAAACCGTTACTGTTGCCTCTCCTCCACAGGCCCCGGTGACAATCACTATCACACACACCCCATCGTCATCCCCTTCCAGTACTCCTACTCCCTCATCTTGGAGCGCTGGGCCATTGTCAACTGGCATTCCCAGCGGAGAGTCCCCGTTCGTGGCCCGAGGACTGAACGCCACTGCCCGGAGATTCCGGAGGTCTTCCTCTGCCAACAACACTGAGGTTAATGATCTTGCTGCTCGTCACAATGGCACTGTGTCTCACCTTGACGCTCGAAGCAACAACACTGCCTCCTTGGTTTCTCGCAGTAACAGTACAGAATCTACGCTCATTGCTCGGAGCAACAGTACTGCCATCCTCACTGCCCGTGGAAACAGCACAGAATCCAAGATTGCCGCTCGGTCGAACGGTACTGCTTCTGGCTTGGGTGCTCGCAGTAACATTATCAACTCTCATCTGACGGCCCGAACCAATAACACTGCGTCTGCTGTCATCGCTCGCAGCAACAGTACCGAGGCCAACACAATCAGTGCTCGCAGCAACAGCACCAACTCCCACGTCAAGGCTCGCAGCTTGAACATCACTGACCGTGCGGTTCTTTACCTTCGTGATGCCCTAAACTCCACCCGCGTTCATGATAGCAATGCTGTGGCGAAGAGGAGCTCGAATGGTACATCGCTTGAGGCTTAATGTTGATGCAAGATGCGAAACATGCCTGGATATGTGCGAACGATCGATTGCGTCTCTTGGCCAAAATGATTGGCCACTTTATCGCTTATAAGATAAGCGAAGTGAACAATGATATGACGGGTACGATATGAAAAGACTGATGAACGTGACGGATGATCACTGGCACACTTTCCTTCTCGTTCTCTGGTTTCATGATGATGATTAACATGATGTTCGATGTGATGATGGTACATCATACATATGCATATGGCGTTTTGTCTGTCTTTCCTTTGGCGTGTTGCTTTTTCGGTGGGGTTTACTCTTTTTTTCCCCTGGTTACCAGATTGGTTCTTTAGATAGATTAGATGGCTTGAACTTCTCAAGGAGTATATAGAATGTGGAATAATCCAATGCATATACTATTCATTTACTTTATCAAGGCCGTACGAATATTTGACCACGCTAATCCCGAACGGGCGTCCGCGGTACAGGTACTCCGTACACAGTACGGTACCTTACGTCAGTTGGTACATTAGCTTCCTTACATAAGACGACAAGCAGCGACCCCATCGAATGTGATCGCATGTCAATCCACTGCGCCTCTTCTTCTGCTGTTGTTAATTAATCTTTTCTCTCTCCCTCCCTCCTGTCTATGGACCAGGAGCTCCCTGATCCTTCTCACTTTAAGTGCTCTTACCATCGGCTCCCTTGCCATTGAAGCACTTCTACCTCCCCCCTGCTATTTTGACAGGGTGTTGACCCCCGATACTCAGCCTCCCCCGACTCTCCCCTCTACTCTCCCACCATATCCGTCACGATGGCCACCCCGATAACCCCCTCCGAAGACCAAAGCCGTCTCCTCGAGGAGGCATTGGGAGTGGTGCGGCAGCAGTCACAAATGATGCGAAAATGCCTAGAGACCCCGGGAAAATTAATGGATGCGCTCAAATGCGGGTGAGCTCAACCTCCCGCCCCCCCAAGGCAGCAGTGGAATCAATTGGTGTAGGGTCTAACATGTTGTGTCAATTGGTCCAGGTCGACCTTAGTCTCTGAACTACGGACGCCCAGCTTAGGCCCGAAGCAATACTACGAATTATACATGGCTGTGTTCGATGCGCTGCGACACCTCTCCGTTTACCTGAAAGAGAACCATCCCGTCAACCACTTGGCCGACCTGTATGAACTGGTCCAGTATGCCGGTAACATCATCCCCCGACTATATCTGATGATCACTGTCGGCACTGTATACATGTCTGTGGAGGATGCCCCGATCAAAGAGATTATGAAGGACATGATGGAGATGAGCCGAGGTGTACAGCATCCTATCCGAGGACTTTTCTTGAGATACTATCTCTCCGGACAGGCGAGGGATTATCTTCCTACCGGATCTGGGGATGGTCCCGAGGGTAACATGCAAGACTCGATCAATTTCGTCCTGACAAACTTCGTGGAGATGAACAAGCTGTGGGTGCGACTTCAGCACCAGGGCCCCTCTCGAGAACGGGAAAAGAGAATGCAGGAGCGCAGGGAGTTGGAGCTTCTGGTTGGAAGCAACGTTGTCCGACTTAGCCAGTTGGTTGATCTGGAGGGTTACAAGTCTGGTATCCTGCAGGCCTTGCTCGAACAAGTTGTCCAATGCCGGGATGTGTTGGCGCAAGAATATTTACTGGAAGGTAAGGGAATATTCACCATTACATGATGAGCCGGATTACTAAGTCAATACTGTAGTGATCACAAAGGTCTTCCCGGATGAGTTCCATCTTCATACACTCGACCTGCTGCTCTCGGCAATTGCCCGGCTTAACCCACATGTGGACCTGAAGAAGATCGTGATTGGTCTTATGGACCGCCTGTCGTCCTATGCGGCACGCGAGACCGAATTGTCTGCTGATCCAGAATCTAGAAAGCAAAGTGAAGAAGAAGCGGTTACTAAACTTCTCGAAAACCTCAAAGTCTCAGAGGAGTCCAAGAAGGAAGCACCCGCCGATGCCGATGCCGATGCCGATGCAAACGCTGCTCAGGAGAACGGCGTTGAGCAGACCTCAAAGGAGTCAGATGACGCAAGTGCAAAAGAATCAGAGGAAGAACCCAGCGCTAGCACAAACGGCGACAAAGATGAAAAGGCTGGGATCCCCACAGACGTCAAGCTTTACGATGTATTCTACGGGCAGGTGGTCAACCTTATCAAATCGCGTGGTCTCCCCATCCAAGATACCATGGCACTGCTGGTTTCGCTCGTTAATCTTGCGCTGAACACGTACCCCGATCAACTAGAATACGTCGACCAGATTCTCGATTTCGCTACCCGCGAGACTGCGGAGTATGCTGATCACGCAGATTTGCACTCTGCTCCAACGCAGCAGAACCTTTTACATCTTCTCCTTGCTCCTCTGCGCTCATACGTCTCGATCTTCACTGCATTGGCTCTGCCACACTATCTTCCTCTCTTGACAGCGCAGTCCTATACTACGCGGCGGTCTGTTGCGGGTGAGATCGCCCGTAGCCTTCTGAAGAATCGGACGCTTATCGCCACTACGGAGAACTTGGACCGTGTATTACAAGCGTTGAGGGTCCTGATCAAGGAAGGCACCCAGCAAGCTATGGGACTTGGTTTACAAGCCCAGCGCCGAGGTGAGACGGATGAGACCATCGAGGAACAAGGGTGGCTTGGGCGGTTAATCCACTTGATCCAAGCTCCAGAAAATGATACCCAGTTGAAGGTAAAACGGCTGAACTTAGATCACACTTGTTCCCTTTGCCATGGCTAACTTGTTGATAGCTACTTCAAGCAACTCGCAAAGCCTACGCCGATGGTAACGAGCGTATCCGCTACACGACCCCAGCCCTTATCACTGCTTCGATACGGCTGGCGCGTAAGCTGAAGTCCCGCGAGCATTATGATGACAACTGGCAGTCGCAGTCGTCGGCGCTCTACCGCTTCATGCACCAATGTGTCAACAACCTCTATCAACGTGTGAACCCCGGATGTGCTGATCTGGCATTACGTCTATTCGTAATGTGCGGTGAGGTGGCCGATCAGACAGGGTTCGAGGAATATAGTTACGAGTTCTTTGCACAAGCCTTTACCATCTATGAGGATTCCATTAGCGATTCCCGTGCTCAGTTCCAGGCGGTCTGCATTATTGCTGGCGCTCTCCATGGGTCCCGGGGATTCTCTAAGGAGAATTACGACACGCTCATTACTAAGGCCGCCCTGCACGGTAGCAAGTTGCTTAAGAAACCCGATCAATGCCGAGCGGTGTACCTGGCCAGCCACCTCTGGTGGGTTGTCGAAAACCCACAGCGAAACGATGACGATCCTAAGAACGTATGTTTTCGCCCCGATTAACAGTTCCAAGGACAGCCCAATTCTTTATTCAACAAAATGCTAACTGGTCAACAGCTCTACCGCGACGGTAAGCGTGTTCTTGAATGTCTCCAACGTGCTCTCCGCGTTGCAGATGCCTGCATGGACACCGCCGTGTCCGTCGAACTCTTCGTCGAGATCCTAAACCGCTACGTCTACTACTTCGACCAACAGAACGAGACCGTAACCACCAAATATCTCAACGGCCTTATCGAGCTCATCCACTCCAACCTGCAAACGGACGAAAACGAGCCAAACCCCAGCTTGGAGGGTCCCAAACGCCACTTCCAGCGCACCTTGGATTACATCCGGTCAAGAGAGTATGAAGGTGTTGTGACGGAGGCTAAGCAGTGAGAATGATTGTATGACATGATGCGTGTGTACTTGTTTCTTCTCTATCCTTGTTCCATTTGAGTTTCCTTTCCCCGATGAAATACCTGCCCCGCCTGTTGTCCGTGTCTCGTCTCGTCTCTCCTAGCATGCAAAACTTGTAAGATTCCCTTCTTTCTCTCTTTTAATCCACAACCCCGTCTTTTTGTGATACGATCATATAGGTGTATCATCATCTGTTGTCCTTCGTCAGACTATCATACCCAATATTCACTTTTTATTCTTGTCATAATAGAATTTGACCAGTTAAGCAAAAAAAAATTCGACCAATGAGTGAGCGAGAGGGTTAATATTCCACGTGATCACAGTAGATTACTTTGTTTGTAACTTGTTAAAGCTTCTTTCAATGCGGATATCTCATTACAGCAGTAGCCTGGACCAAAGTAGTCTACTAGTAATTATGACGTGAACAATCATGGTGAGATCAAATCGATCGTGTAATTGTTTGACACGGAGGGACGTTTGCTCCATGGGAATCTCTGCAATAAGCCATACAAGACATGATAATGCCCGTGCGCGAGGATTAACTCGAACAGGTTAAAAAAGAACACACAAGAAGATAAGATAGGACGAAGAAGAGAAGAAAAAGAAAGCGAGAACCATCAAGTGGGAAACCGTATGATAAAGACGTGAAACACATGACATGATGACGCTTGGACAGAGGGGGGCATTTCAGCGATCAATCATTCCCAAACCGCAAGTAGTAAAAAAAGTAAAAAGCAAAAAGAACAAAGATTCCCCATTTCCAGTGGTAGATAGAATCGAATGCTGTGTGATAAAGCCCCGGTAACGCCTAGAAACCCGTGGGTGGAGAAGAAAATTGTCGTAGCACTGATGGTGTACTGCCGATGCCGCCGAATGCCGGTATGCTACTGCTTGGAACAGGACTGCCGATTTCACCGGGCACAATGCTGCCTCTGTGGCCTGAGGCTGCACTGTTGGTATCTGACTCGAACTTGACGTACTCGCCGGTCTCATCGCTCTTGATTAAGAATGAGCCACCGCCGTTTTGTGTGTTGCCTTCCGTGTCGCAGATGTCGAGCATCTCTTTGAGCGAGATGGAGGGCTCATTTGGAGGCCGGAGCTGGTCAACCTGGCGAAGAACGTAGTTCACGTCATGGTAACCAGCCGCCCCCTTGGAGGGACTCATGGTGTTTAGTTGCTTGCAGGCTTGGATCACCAATAGTCGGATGGCAACAGGTCGCGACGTGTGCGCACGATGATGACCTCCGGACCCGAACGCGTTGTTCGACCAACCGCCCCCTGAGGTTACCGTTAGCAGTGAAACATAATAAGATCGCTGGCCTCTGTTACTGACCGTGAACAGTTCCCCATGTCGAGGCGCCGGGGAAAGCAGAAGCCCCAAAGGGGAGTTGTGCTCCCCACGTGCTGCCGCCTACACCAGGATTGACAGGGAAATTTGTGTGTTTCGGTGCTGTGGAAGTGTTAGTGCTTTCTGCTATTGAGTCCATGATGGGCTAATACTTCGACGGTTAGACTTACCACTAAGAGGATCTGGGAACAACGAGGGTGCTGCAAAGCTGGCTCGTGTCGGTCCTGGTAGAGACCCCGGTACTGTTGCACCAGGGAGTGATTGTGACAAGTTCGACGTAAAAGGAATATCGGTATCATCAAGAAGGGCACTGCTACCCAGCTGGGCACTCAAACTGTCCATATGCCGCTGCATAGTGTAGTTAGTTTCACCCTGTTCCTGCTGAGTACTAGATGGACGCTTGATGTGGCTCGGTCTGGAGATAGAGAACGGTTGGGCATGACTATCCAGGGGAGACCTTTCAAATGAGCCTGAGGGTTGTCGGGTATGTCCGTGTGCTAAGCCACCTGGTTGAGCAGAGAATGGTCCCGATATTGGCTGTTGAGAATGGAATGGGAGACCGTGGCCTGGATCAAGCGGAAACCCTCGTCCAGGGGGTATCGGACGGGCTCCGTTTATACCTGGGGGAGGCACAGGGATTCCATTAGGTGCAGTAAATCCTCGCAGTTGACTCATGAGAGGCGTTGAATGCGGTGGGTACGTGGGCAGTTCATGACCAATTGGCGGTCGAGGTACAATCCCAGCCAAACCAGGGGGATTCGGCGGTAGTCCATTCGAGAATCCGGGCGGAAAAGATCTCCCTAGTGATCCAAGTGGTGACAGTGGTGTTGAGGGTTGGGGGTGATGAAGCATGGGTTGCTGAGCGTGACCTTGTTTGGAGGTTACACTCGAGGCCCCGGACGACTGGGTTGGCGCCATCGACCGTGGAGAGATAGACACTTGCGATGGTTCGGTGCTGGCCGGTTGAGACCGCGGAGAAGATGTGTGGGAGTCTTGCTGGGATGGCTGACGAGGCTTGACAGGAGTAGGCGCCTTGGGTACAACTGGTGTAGCAGCTTGATAGTGCGGAGATTGAAGGTGACCGGGAAGACCTGGATAGTGCATATTCGATGAAATAGGTACCGATCCTTGTTGCGATGAACGCTTATGCTCTTGAGGTTCTTGCCCAGCCTTCCTTGCTTGCTCCTCACGAGCCTTGCGCTCACGCTCCTCTTTCACCTTTTCTCTCGACTCGCGTTCCTCCCGCTCCTTTCTCCGGGCCTCTTCACGCCGTTTCTTCTCTTGCTCCTTCTGCTCCCGTTGCTTTCGTTCCGCATCCGCTTGTCGTTCTCTTTCTTCGCGCAGCCGCCGTTGTTTATCTGCTTCTTTTCGCGCACGCTCCTCCTCCTGGGCCTTCCGCTCGGCTTCTCGCTTCTTCCGTTGCTCTTCTCGCTTCTTTCTTTGTTCCTCTAACTTCTTCTCATGCTCAGCTTTGGCTGCGGCTTCCTCTGCGGCCTTCTCTGCTTCCCTTCGTGCCCTTTCCTCGTCTTTGGCTTGTTTCTGGAGACGTTTCTTCTCTTTCCTCTTCTCCGCTTCTCGGGCTTTCTTGGCATTTCGCTGTTCGTTGCGGGTCTGCTCCTCCATGAGCTCTTCTATCAGCTTTTGCTGACGTTGCTCAGCAACCTTCTCTCGGTAGGCAGTTAATACGCGCTGTTCGAACATTCGAGCTGCAAAAATCTGGAACATTCGCCGGCCTTCCTCCATCCGTTGCTCCTCCGTCATAGCATCCTGAGAACAATGTGTCAGCCTGCACTGTAACACGTTGTCGGGGAAATAGTTGACTCCAGGACAGACCATCTCGTCCTCCTCATAGTCTTCTTCCTCTTGACTATCGTAGTCGTCGTCCTCTTCGTCATCATAATCCTCGTCGTCATAAGGGCCATGATTATGACCGCTATGGAGGGACTGATGTGCTGCGGCTATTCCGTACTGCGTATCTTCCTCTCGTTGCATTCGACGTTCGGCTAGTTGCTCCATCATATCGATAAAGTGCTTCCCGTCATTTTTTAAGAGATCGTCTGCAACCGTGAGAATCCCGTCTAAGTCAACATAAAAGTGAATGAAATCAGCCCGCATGCTCTAGAAAAAAA